TGGGCTTTCTTGCAACTCCCATTCCGCGGGATTCTGGAGGTGAAATTCAAGCGACCTGTGGTCATTCTCGTCCAAGTGACCATGTCTCGTAGAATTGTGTTGGTTTTTCCATATAAATGACACGCCTGTGCCAACGTTGTCTAGATCCCATTCTGGTCCCAAACTCTAACCGTAATCATGTCTGCCATTCCACCGCGAACTTAATAGGTGATACCTGTTTCAGCTGTGACCTTACCGGGGTGATGTTGGCTAGGAGTGTCCTGCAGTCCATACTTAGAGTGTCCTTCCTCCACTTCATGTGAATCGTGTCCGACTGACTGTATATTGCCATTGCAAGCGGGTTCAAAAGTGCAGGTAATTCTTCGACTCCTTTCGGTGCCCCAGCCATGCTGACGAGTAATTTTCCTGTTTCCCATAGTGTGGACTGGTGTCGAAATGTGTCGGATGTTGGTCAACGTACCCTGGTGTGATGTAGACACTTGGTGCTACAGGAAAGCGTTTACGGTTGAAAAGGACGTCTCCGACGATGTGGGCTTGCCTTGTTGCTGAATGGACCCACGTGCCGACTACTATTGCTGCAAGCGCTAGGATTTCAACGCGTAGGTTAGGCAGTGATAGACCTCCTCTGTGTCTGGGCAAGGCTGCTAAGTCTGCGTCAAGCCACTCTGCCATTCTCCGCATCGGTTGTGAAGTGTCCGTGCCAGACGTAGTGTTTAATTCTCGTGTCCATGGCCTGGACCTCCATCACCGACGGCCATGCGTGACGCGCTATATAGAGGAGTTTCGGTACAATGATGGCACTGGCAATCCTGCTGCGATGGTCGACAGTGAGGGTTTTTTGGCTTGGCAGCCGCAATCTTGCTGTAAGTTGTTGCAGAGCTACCGTCCACGACCTCTGTGGATTCCGTTTACTTCCAACTTGAATACCAAGGTACCTGCAGGTTGCATCGGTCGGTTGGTAGTGCAGTTCAGGCGGTAGTGTCATTGATGGAGTCGCTCCCTCCGGATTTAGTGCTACAACCAGTGTCTTGTCGGTCTTAATTTGCAGCCCCGACGCCTTGCCAAAGGAGGATACCACGTGGAGTAGCGCAGGGATGTCCTTCGGGTTGGCGACAAAGGCCGCAGTGTCGTCTGCGTAGCCCGCAACCCGCAGCTCAAATCGACCAGCCTCTGAATGAACTATGACCCCTTTGCATCCCATAAAACCGTCCAATTTTCTGTACAGAGGGTCCAAAGCCAGGATGAACAGCATCGGTGCCAAGGGGCGGCCCTGCCGAATTCCGCTCGTAACCCGTACATATCGTGAGGTGGACCCATTCACCAGGAAACGCGCTCGTGTACCTTCAAGTGTACTGTCAATTGCTCGGACAAATTTTTCTGGGTATCCTTTCCGTCTAAGAATGGACAGCATGTATGCTCGATCGAGTGAGTCGTAGGCCTTCTTGAAGTCCCGCAGTAGTGCAGAAGCCTCTCTCTGAGAGAGATCAGTGAGTACCATACTTTGTTCTGCCTCGTGTCGTGGATTTATCTACCAGGAACGAAGCCATTTTGGTTGGGGTGTATGTGATCTGGCAGCGTCATGCTGACTCTACTTGCCAGTATCTTCATCAGGAGCTTATAGTCCGTGTTAAGCAGGGCAATTGGGCGGAAGTTGAGTGCATTTCGCGAGGATCCCCCTTTTTTGAGGCAGAAGGTATCCGCGTCCAGAAATGAAGGCGGGAAGACTCCTGCGTCGTACCAAAGATCATAAGATTTTGCCAGAATCGGAATGAGTAGGTTTTCGTAGTCTCGATACCATCCATTGCCCAGACTATCCGGACCCGGCGCTTTGCCTCGTTCACATTTCTGGATGGCAGCCCTCACGTCGTCCTCAGTAATTTCTGCAGCGATAGCGGTCTGAGCTGGTGTGGATTGGTCCGCTTGGGGAATCCAATTGCCGACTTCCTCTACATTGGGCCAGTCCGCAGCATCTTGCTGTAGAATTGGTGTCCACGCGTCCGCCATGGTGTCAGCTTTGTCGTGAACTCCTCTCACTGGTACGCCTGGGATCGGGTCCAGCTTATGGACAGTATCGTCGCTAAATTTAGACGATACTCTCCTAAAGAAGGAACGTGTAGTTTTGCATGCCCAGTGGGTTGCTTCTTGGAACAAGCGGCGTTGTCCAAGCTCGTTTCTAGTCTGCTTGCACTCGGCAATAGCTCGCCGTAAGCGAGCTTCACGAGTCAGCCCCGCTGTTGTGTCTAGAGTAAGTCCGTCTAGCTGGTCAGTGATTGATTCTACCGTCGGAGGTTGACCCATTTTATCTTGTAGCAGACGGTGCTGCTGACGTACCAATCGGGCCAATTTCTATTTGAGAGATTGTCTCCTTGATTTACGCCGCTCTCTAATACATAGTCGGGTTCTACGAGCAATTTCACTCTTCAACGCCTCCCACTGCACGCTGGCCTCTTCCGCTGAGTACTCATTTTTGCTAAAGCGATCAGCAAACTCTGTTAGAATATGAGTGGTAACTCCTTGACTGCGACCTCTGCAAATTGAGGTACCGGGTGAATTCGTGGTGGCCGGCGGATTCGGATAGGGTCCTCCGGTGATGACGTGCAGTTTAGTTCCGAGATGATCCGACTTGGCTCCGAACTGAACTGTGTGCCAGTCGGTCACCCACGACAGTGTGCAAGGTGACATATACCACCGATCCAGCCGTGAGGATGCCTCTGTTCCCCCAGGAAGCGTGTAATGACAAGTGTGAGACTCGAAGTGGTGTCGTAGTAGATCTTCATATGTCCATTTCGACGGTCGTGCCACTGCGATCGGGTCCAGAAGGTCCCATATGTTAAGCAAAGCCCGCAGCGCCGGTGCGTCATGGCCTCCGGATGCGCTGGTGAAGCTGCAGTCAGCCCATTCATTCAAGGTACAGTTAAAGTCACCTCCAACGAAGAGCAATACCCCAGCAGGAAACCCAATATTTTGCAATGTTTTGTAAGACGTCTCTCTGAGCGCGGAAGTGTGAGGTGCGTATACGCTGCAAATAATTGCCGGGGTGCCATCAAGATTCCCTCTTACCGCCGTGAAATTCTGAGTCCATTTATCTTCCAGATAGGGCGTCATGGCCTTATTAATAAACGCGCCATACGGGTTTGCCCAGATCGCCACACAACCCCTCCTGTCATCGGCAGGTGTCCAAAAGGAGTAATTCGGCTGCCGTGGGCCCGTCTGGAACCCCCACCTCCTCGCAAAAAGTCTTTTGTACGCTTCCATCTCTCCGGCCGCGACATGCGTCTCCTGCAACAAGAGTACATCTGAGTTTCCATGGGAGTCCGATGTCCCGAAAGCCGTGAACCCGTTCGATCTCTCCTTTTCTATCGCACCGAGTCCATTGCCATTTTGTGTAATGATCCCTAACGTTTGCTCTTCTGGGTGGAGCCGTTGTTCCGCCAGTTTTGCTGCTCTGGCTGCGTCCTTATCAGCTTTCCTTATTCTCTTCGTGCGCAATTTCTTGTCTTGCGCAAACGGTTCCTCTAGTGCAGTGAATTGGTCTGTTACTTGTATTGGGTCGAAGAATTCCACAAGTCCTGTGTTTTCGCGATGTATCCCCACGTAGTATGTAAAGTTTTTGTGTAATTTCTTGTAATTGGATCTGTATTCTCCTTCTCCTCAGATCCAGCACACTTCCCCTTCCAGCTGCTTGGACCGTCGGAGTCGGAGTATGCATGGGCAGTGATCGTCAAATTGTGGACACAGGCGTCAGCGCAGGCTGCTCCCCCTGCGGTAACGTTGCTGGCACTGTGGTGCCTTTTTTTCTGGTGTCCTGTGGTGAGCTCTCGACTTCGTCCTCCCTATGAGCTCCCCAGGTTTGCCCCGTCGGGGCTAAAGTTGCTGCACTCCAGTCTTGGTGGTTCACTATTCCGTGGCATAAACTGCGGATGAATGAGAACTTTTCGTACCATATCAACCGGGCGCCGTGTGGAGCACGCCCCATTGGTGTATATTGCCAGTCACTGACCACGTAGGGCATCACGTGAAGAAGGCACCATTCGGTGCGAGGTACACCTTCCGGTTGTGCCCGGCAGTAGTTGTCTGGGACCCACTGGGCTAACCTCGCCCACCTCTCAGGAGACGCAACCAGATCACTGGCTGCGACCGAGTCGTCACTGCACTGCAGGTAAGCTGTAAGCCACTCTTCGCAGTACTGTCGGGGGTTAGCGTCCAACGTGTCGTCTCCTGCCAGCCGCTGTATTGCTGTAAGTTGTTCATTGTGGAAATCGAGTTCTTCCTACTTGATTAGGTGAACCAGGTCCCCGTTCTTGGCCTCGTGTTCTGGATAAGGAACAAGTGCCGTAGAGCCTGGTGGTCTTTGAGTAGCCATTTTGTGATATCCGTCGGTCGCGATCCGCGTCGCTTAGTGAGAGGGATCTGAAATGTCTCTCTGAAGAGTACACACCATTTTGAGAAGGCCTCTAGATACGCCCAAGCTATCAAGTCCGCAAGAGGCACGTCTACCTCATCCATTGAAACTGACTTCGATGCGCGCAAGAGTCTGAAGTAAGTGTTTTGGACAAGAACACCATAGGCAGGGCGAGCGTAACGTGTAGGCATAGACACCACTCCGTTCCCGTTAGTCTCATCCTGCTGAGATCCAGTTGAGTAAGCGTCAATCCCGTACGCTGCGTGAATGTGTTGTTCTTCCTGTTGGAGATCTGCGTCCGAGGCGTTCTGGCGATAAGCCGCATCGAGGATGGGTAGTCCGAGTCTGGCATGAACGACATCTAGCCGCGCTCTCATTTCTTGACGTTTAATTAGAATAGAGTTGACGTCCCCTCTGTCCGCTAGTTGGTTTACTGAGGCCAAGTCTATGGTGCGTTCGGCGTCTGTCAGGTTATTCACATCTTTCTTCCATGAAAACGTGTTCGAGATGTCTGCAGCAAACTCTGGGTCTCCTTCCGCCCTCCATTTGAGGTATAGCTCCCCGTGTCCGACTCCATAAAAATGCCGTTCGTCATGCCTTAAGACCAGAAAGGTTGAGAGGACGTGAAGATCGAAGCTGGCTCTAAGATATTCTGTTGCTTCCCTGTCCGTGAATGCCGCGACATATCTGCTTTCATGATCGACGTTGTTTGGGAGTCGGAGAAGTTTGTATAGGTAACGTTGGATGTGGGCGTCGTTAGAAGCTCTTGTGTCGAACACCAGTATGGGTTCTCGCAAGTACTGCGCCATCGTCCGAAGTTCATGAGGACCAGCCTAGTGGTGTGGCGGCACTGGTTCTCCAGCTGAGCGTAGTCTGGCTCTGGCGTAGTGAGCAAAGAGCGCTGCAGTGGCCCCTTCCTTGAATTCATAACCTGGGTGGTCAGAATACAGCCGAGCGCACTCCGCTATAGGATCGACGAGCCCTAGCGCGACATCATTGCGTAAATTCATCATCATGAGCGCGTAAATTGACTGCTTCAACTCTGTGACCTGTTGGACCGTTGCCCTTGAGTTTTTGAGTTTTGACGTTGAATGATTCGTGGTTGATGCGTATAATGCAAGGAAGGCGCATTGACCATTGACCATTTGCCTCAACCTCCACTTCTGTTCCATTGAATCTTACTAGCCATTGTCCCAATTGAACGGGCAGACCAGCGTCCCCTTCGTTAGTGCCCATACGCGTTATTTTTAAAAGTCAGATCCTCTTGGGAGGTTGGAGTTGCCGGCACTATGTCCTCCTGTTCGTGGCCGTCTCCACTCTGTGTGGGCTTGGAGACCACTGCAGTAATCACTTCACCGGTTTTCCCCTCCACGGCACGCTTTGTGCTCTTGATATATGTTGCCATACTATTCTGCATCCCCTTAATAGCGCCATCCTGTAGGCCTATTTTCCCAGACAGTTGTTTGACCTTGCGAGCGGACCGTACCACAGCGCTGGTGGTGGTGATCTCCAATCGGCTCTGTGAGTGCTGCTCGGTCGCCCGGGCGGCAGCAGCAGTGGTCGCTCCCCCTGTTGTTGCTAAAGGCATTACCTCGTCCTCTTGAGCGGCGCTAGCTGACCGGGCGGATTGGTTGAAATCTGCCGCTCGTGGTGGCGTGGTCGTGGCTAAGAAATCACTCTGTGGCCCACCTGCATACGCATAAGGTGCCTCGTCACGTTCGTTCTCTTCCCATGCTCGTGTAGTCTGCTTCTCATCATCAATCTGCATTTGGTCATCGTCTTCCTCCTCCTCGCTGTCTGAAGAAGCGAGCTCCGCAAATTGTCCCAACGCTTCGTTCCTTAGAAAAGAAGCGAAATGCGCGTCCTGCCCTTTGTTTAGTGTGGTGGATCGCGATGCCGCTGCGGGATGAGTGGTGTTAGTGCGAGCCATGGGAACTGATGCTGTTGTCCGCGCGTGACTGGCTGAGTATGTGTACGAGCGACTGTATCAGCTGTGTGACTCGCCTTCGCCGCGCCCTCCGATGGTTGGGCATTGGGGTTTGTTGCTGCCTAGCGATTTTGTTTTCTGGATTTTCTAGATTTTCGTGTTTTTGTTATGAATGCTTGGTCTGCGGCAGTCTCTGCGTAAGTGCCCTTTGGGGCGGCCGTGTCCGACGTTGTCGCTACTGATTCGATTCTTCGGGGTATGGACTGCTGCTCAGCGGTGGAGACAACCTCTGTCACCTGTGCGGGTGGTCGAGTTGAGTCGACCACTTCAGCTTCAGCCGGTAGTAGGGGCTTCACAGTCACCTGAGGTGGTTGGTAAGATTGCAGCATCTTAACCAGGTCCTCCATCGTGTGAACATTAAAGTCCACGCGAGTTGCTCTATGGGTTCGTGCCACTTCTTCCTTTCACCTTCTGGTTGATCTCGCTCGAACCAAGGCTAAGCTCTCCGGTTTGGTTCTGCATCTGGACGTGCTGTAACCTGGATGCAAACATTTTGTGCATGATTTGCCGAAGAATTGCTGAAAGTGGTGATTGGTGATGGTTGCTCCTTCCATTTCTATCGTAGACACCCCTTTCCGTGCAGGAGGGCATTGACGCTGCGCGAACCGAATGATATGATACCGGTTATCGTAAATTTCTGTTCGGGTGGCTCGAGCATATTCTACGTCGAGGACCTTTGCCCCTGAGAAGCAGGAGAAGGCACGAGACAGCGGCGCCAGGCCCAACTTGAACCCACCATACACTCGGACAGCGTATTGAGTCTCTATTTGTGCTGGGGTGAAGTACCCTGTCCCCTCCTCTTCTGGAAGACGTTCGGTTGCTTGAGGGTGATGACTTCCGCTCTTAGGCGCAAAGATTTACCGATCCATCGAGCAGCTCCTCTCTGTAAGTGGAAAACTACATGAAGTGTTTGCGCACCATCGAAGTATAGCCTTTTGACATCTTTTTGGAAGGCTCTCATCATTGCGTGCCCCGTGTTATCGTCCGTATTGGCCAAGAAAAAGTCTTTGAAGATGGCTGCGTGAGCGGTGTTTGACGTCATGCGAATTGTAGCAGGGAGCACCACCGTGAGGGTGAAGTTGAAATATGTATCGTGCATATCCTCGATCATTGCTCTATGCTCGCTAATCATTGTTTCTTCGATGAAATTTGGGGTGTGTGGGAGGTCGAGATGTCCTCTGGTCTACGTGAAAAATCTGTCATCTTCTCGTGCCGTCCAGGCGCGGATAGATTCGTCACAACTAACGTTTGCTGGGGCCAGTGCTTCACTGCGCATCGCTGCTTTTTCCGCTTTCCATGTTGTTGTGTCCACCTCCCAATCCGTCATCAAGGTGTGCAGAAGTTGCTTGATGTGAACTGGATTCCATACCCCAGCAAGCATATGCGATCGCCGTGCTGCTGCTTCACTGACTCTCGACTGGCTTGGCAAATGTGCCTGCACTTTGGTGCTCCATGTGCTCATGGCGGCCTGAGTCACTGAGTGTGTCTCGGGAGCCGTTTCTTCGTCCGTTACAGTTGTGTCCGTTAAAGCGCGCCCCTGTGGTTGCTCTTTGTTCTCCTCAACTCGGGTCTCCGGTGCGCGCTGTGGCTGCTGCGCATCGATGTCTTCCATCCTCCCTTCTTGTGGCAGCGGATTCTGAGCCACTGCAGATGGGGGCCCTGGACCTTGCGCTCCCATGCCTGGCTCCGCCATCGCCGCGTCCGTCGCGCTTAGCTTGTCCTCCCGCTTGTCCCTGGCGCGGTGCTTGCTTTGGGCCACTCACTGCTGAGCGACCTTTCCTATTCAAGGTATTTTTACGAGTAGAGCGCTACCGTCTTAGCCCGCATATAAGACATATGTGCTGTAAATGAATACAACGCTGCTTGTGTGTTATATTCGTTTAGAAAGCCTATGTGCTGTACAACGGACAAATTGTTTGACTTTGAAGAAGCAAGTTTGTGGGTCCTGGAATCTGGCTTGGTCGTTTAGGCTTGACCCTACTACGCGATCGGCGTGGGTTCAAACCGCCACGCTGTGCTTCTTGCTAAGAGCGACAAAGCCGTGATCTTTCACGCCTATCCGATAGTCTGCTAGAACAGCGAGTTTCTCGTGGATACTATAGCTAACGTCGCTCAGCAGCCATGGCTGTGTAAATTATAAAATAAGAGAATTAAAGCCAAGTAACAGCAGCACCGACAAGTTTGTTCAATAGGTTGGTTGGGAGCTCTCAAGAATATTCATTGGTTGGTACAGCTTTAAGTAGGTTTCAGGCACATGTGTTCTAATTAGGTAGGTGGTCAAATTGAGGTTTAAGCTAGATGTCGAGCGAATTCCGTATTTTTTTAGAACACATATGCCTTATATGCGGGGTAAGACGGTAGCTTCGTTCCGAAGATCTAGGTATTCTGGAATACGTCACGAAAACGAAAGTAAGATGAGCGATCTAAGCCAATTTAACAGAATGAAATGCGCTTAAGCCCCCCTTGAGATTTCGGTACAGACTCTTCGATGTATTATTTGCGCTAGCCCGTCGTCAAAGCACTGCTTAATGAACACATTAAATTTATAAATTCGTGCACAGAGGTTGATTTTTTTAGTCGCCGTTTTCGTGCTTTGTCTTCGACCGATATCGCGTATGCGCCCTGTAAACCGACCCTTAGGGTCGGTCTTATAAAAGAGGGATGGGACCAATCAGCGATCGAGATTGCGGGTCATTGGCAACGCCTTTAGGGGTGACACCGCTTCTTGGCCCACTGGGACGTTGTGTGGCACGGTATTGGGATACACATATGTCGCCAGACGTTTTCGTTCTCCTAGTTACCTTTTTATAAAATTAGTGGTGTAAATGAGGTTGAATTTTTTTTTTACTGCTCCAGCTTACACTACAGATGTGCAGGTCCTCATGTGAAGCTTCTGGTATAGCTTCTGTCTGCTTTTGAAGGTTATTTTGCCCAAAGTGCCGGTTTCACCTTAATTTTGCATTACGAGAAAAATCGATTCTTAAGCTAATCTTTTCACACGATATCTCCCCTGTCAGAAAATTGAACACTTTTAGAGCTTTGTATGAAAGTCCCCAATGATTTATTATCTTTCCGTATTTATTCTTCCCAATGCCGCTTCTCAAGCGGGCAGCCGATATGCAGGAGATCTTGAGTGTCATGGCATCTCCTTGTACAGGTATCTCCAGAATTGAACAAGAAGATAAGGGACACGTGAAAACGGTTGAGAGCGTCTTCTTCAACGCGTCGACTGGATGGCGGCAGTGAGTCAAACATTTTTTGTTGTGTCGGAGGCGTTTCTCAATGACACGGGGATCCAAGCTGACAGCTTCTCACGCGGGCGCGGATGGTATTCGAGTGCACGTTGAGGGGTTTTCGAGTGCAGACATTTTTGCCACGAAATGGCGGAATGCCGAGTGCAGATAACACATGGCGATATCGTCGGCTCTATATCTGTCTTGTCCGGTCCATGCTTGTTTGAATGTACTACACTGTCCTTGGGGCCGGATGCAGAGCTCACCAGGATGTAAGAGGAGAAAAATACATGTATTTGTGAGAAGAAAACATGAGTGAGCCTTGGATCCTGGTTCACTTCCTACACAAGGTACGCTGAGCTCTGCTAGTCCAGTCCTACGCTCAAATGCTCAATGCCAACTGTCACTCCTGATCGTCTTAGCTGTCCAAGTCCTGATCGTCGTCGGCGTCACGGCCGACACTGCGGGGATGCGATTCGTGTGTGTTTGCGTGGGCGGCAGCACTCTTCGTAACATCGAGGCCAGTACGTCTTGATTCTACGATCAGCTGCACCAATTTCTGGCACTCTAGGAAGACTTGCTTGCCTCCCTCGAAGTCGACAAGCCACCTATATCTACCAGCCCGACTTGAGTAGGCTTGAATTGTGATAATCATGCTGATGTCTTCCTCTTCTCCGTTGACGACAACGGCAAAATCCTTTGCTATCTGCCAGCCATAATGATAGTGCGGTTTCTTCGTCAACTTCTTTTCCAGGGATGGAATCGAAAACGTGCGGCAGTCGGGTGCATCAATGAAGAGTGCACCAGCGATTTTGCGTTGTCCCCCGCAAAGTTTCGTGGTAGGAAGAATTTTTTTGGCGACAGTCAGATCGAATTGCTTCCTGATTGACATCACTGCGAGAACGTGAGAACAAACCCACCCTGTCGACCAAAACATTTTGCAATCGCATCGGAAGAGCGCCCGTATTTCACGGATCTGTACAACAACAACACTACGAGATGAGATGAGAACAAACAGATCATTGTAGCATGAAACTTACATTATCCATCGAGATCACAGGATGGAGCTGTAGCTGAAATGTTTTGGCCCGATCTGAATGGTCCAGAATCTCCACCTCATTTAGACAGAGATAGTGGACGTTGATATCTTCCACCGTATCGGACTCCCTAAGTTTTCCGACCTTGGCTTCGAGCTATCTGTCGCAATTGCAAGATTAACTAAAGATTAAGGCGCATGGAACAGATAAGATGAGGAGGACCTACCTGTCGACTCTCACTTTCGTAACCTCACATGCAGGATCTGTATCTGTGTCCATGTATTCGGTTGCGTTGAACAGGAACGATCGTGGCACCCTCTTTCTGTTCACAACCTTCGTCTTCTTGTAGTACATCGATGAGCTAGTGTGGCGCACTGCCTGGTGAATGGTGTCGTCTGGAATTGGACCTGAGTACGTATAGATCCATTAGCCATCAGTCCCTATACCTCACTGTGTAACAGTGAGTACCTCCGGAGAAGTGGCTAATCGCGCTGGTCGGTGAGTCCGCGCTCATCAACGAGAAAACGCCAGGAATTGAGTCGTTGAGAACAACGCCTGTTTGCGCACGCTTTGCTGTCACGCCTCAAGTTTAATCACAGCGTTGTGTGACTCCAGGGGGTTTTGATTCGGAAGGGCACCGGGGGCGCCGCTTGTCGTGTACCATCGCGTCCACGTGTCTGTCAGGTATATTTTCTCGAACCAAGCCGCATATTCATGCTGCCCATCTGCCCGCCAGCGCTGCAAACACAGCTTTTTCGACACTGCCCCAAATTGTGCAGGCGCCCTCGTCTTATGCATCTGGGTAATGTTCACCTTGATATTGTCCTGGTAATAAGCTGACGAAGTCTCCACGGGCTTCAGCTGAATCCGATTCTCGTGACTCTTTCGCGTCAAGTGGGGGTAGCAGTCAAGCAATGTGATGTCCGGCCACACCTCCTTGTATGAATTCGCAATGCATGCGGCAGGATCAAGACTCCCAAAGCGCACATTGAGATCCACACCAAAAAAAATCTGGGTTTTCTCCAAGACGGTTCGAAAAAGAGTCGTGAAAGCGAATTGATGCTCAGTTCGTACGAACATGTACGCCCAGGGCACGAAAGACTTGCTGTATTTCTTCTCGGCAGTGAAGTGCGAATGGTACGTTCCAAATGCAACCAGCACCCAGCCACCTAACATTGATCGAAAAACTGTTAATCAACAATCATCACTCGAGAGCACTAATAGAAACGTACCATAGTGGAGCTTGTACGTTCCGTCAGTCGACGCAAATACTCCATCTTGGTCCTGTCCCTCTACAGCGTAGAGAACATTTCGAAAAACGCGTCTTGTCGTCATCACCAGTCCAAAAGACTCGTAGGTCTTCCCTTCTTCATGTAAAAGTGGCGAAAACACTTGAGTACCAGCGTTTCATTTCGAAACTGAGGCGGCTTCGACGAAAACGTTGTCTCATCAGTAGTTCTGTCAAAACCACCAGCACTGAAGAAGTCGAATGCGGAGTCACACAAGCGCAGGCCAGCCCATTCGCTGAGATCCGCAAAGCTTGCCACCTCGGTCTTCTTAGCGAGCGCATTCATCATGTAAGCTTTCCGTTTTTTCACTTGATCCCGGCTAGGAAGGATCGCTAAGAGATCCGGTCTGGCTTCGTATTGCCGTGCGATCATCAGGAGAGCCTTCCTTGGTCCAGCATTACTTGCGATAGCTGCGTCGATCTCCGATTTGAAAGTGGGGTGTATGCCTTGGCGCCTTCGCTCACTAAGTGTAATTGAATGTGAACCACGAGCTTCGAGTGCAAAACAGCGACTATCACGATCGTCTTCCCCGTTGATCTCCATTACGCGGAAGTAGCGATTGCAGCTGCGGTGATCAACACACCTATAGACCTTGGCATGAAACCGCTTCCCCGTGTTGAACATGAACACGTAGCTGAACGCGTCTTGGAGCTGAATCGCGACTTGCGCGCTTTGCATCGTTTCATGAACCGAGATGCGTTGGTACCGTCCTCTGGTCGATGGACGACTCGGTCTATGCTCTCCCGTGGAGCTCTCCACCATTGCCCTGAACACAATGTGAAATGCACACGGTAGGATAGATGAGTATGAAGTAGAAGCAATTTAGAGTATTACGGTGAACGTACGGCGAGCGTTGAATTTGCTCTTATCGTGTTGACGGAGAAGCGCTTGAACGAAAGGAACTCTTACACTATGGACTGGCGTAGCTGGCGAGCGAAGTTGGCGATGGAAGCACACTAACCCTAGCTCGTGGATCGCTTTGTAGACGAACGCCTGCTTGTCGTTGCTGCAACATGTAGCTTACATTAGCTACGTCTGAACTAATGAAGGCAGAGCCTTGACGCATCTTCTTCCGTGCTCAAGCCTTAACCTCAGCAGTGCACTCGGTCATTCCCTCAAGTTGAACAAGGGACA